TATCTATCTATCTATCTATCTATCTATCTATCTATCTATCTATCTATCTATCTTTTCTTCCTTTCCTTCCCTTCTCTTTCTTCCCGCCATCCCTTTCTCCCTCTTTCTTTCTCTTTCTCTCTCTCTCTCTCTCTTTCTTATCATCATGATCTCTCTTTCTTATCATCATTATCATATTTTCACACATTACAGGTGGTCCTTATTCTTATACATGTAATTGGTCTGGTCATAAGTTGTTGCAGTCATAAGTCAAGGCATTGTGTGACTGGCCTTGATTTTATAACACTTTTTGTAGAAGCCATTAATAACACAATGGGGGGGCGGGGGCTCTGTAATTATCTTGTCTAACCCACTTAGACAACCTCCTACAGGTTGGAGAAATGAATTGCAAAATAGATCTTGGCCCCAACTTGGAACACATATGTCGAAAGATCCAATGAAATACAAGCATTTGTTGAAATCATCACTTCAGATACCAATGCTAACCAGATAGCAATAGCGCTTAGACTTATATACCGCTTCACAGTGCTTTTACAGCCCTCTCTAAGCAGTTTACAGAGTCAGCCTCTTGCCTCTCCCCAACAGTTTTGAGTCTTCATTTTACCCACCTCGGAAGGATGGAAGGCTGAGTCAACCTTGAGCCTGGTGTGATTCGAACTGCCAAATTGCAGTCATCCGGCAGTCAGCAGAATTAGCCTGCAGTATTGCACTCCCACCACTGCACCACTGCAGCTCATGAATGCAAGGATAAAGCGGCTAAGTGAAAGTGAAGTGAAGCATGACTCATGCAGCCCTTGAAATATAAAACTGCTGCAAAGGACTCAGGATCCATGGCTGGCTTAGCACTCCCTTACCTAAGATTACATTTAGCCAAGATCAGTATGTGAAATAAATTCTCACACCGCTACTTCTGCAGCCCTTTAATCCATCTTTTTCTGGATCTCATGGTTACCCTTTGCAACTGCTGCACAGTTGGGAAGGTTATACTGGATTTAGAACATAGAATAATAGGGTTGGAAGGGAACTTAGAGGTCTTCTAGTCCGGGTGTCACCAACCTTTTGGACCTCAGGGACCACCAAACTCATAATTTTAAATCCCGCAAGCCACTAATATGAATTTTGACTGATGGTGGCTTGCTGACGTTTTCCCAGGGCAGCAGAGACCCTGGGAAAATCCCCCAAAAGTCTGCAGCAAAATTCCCCACTCTGTTTTCTTACCGATCAATCATTGTTTATATGGGATCGCAGGATACTGTCTCCAGCTCCGTTCTCAGGGGGAGAGAGAGAGAGAGACTTTTGGCTTCATGCAAGGAAAGCAGCAGAAGCAGCAGAAGTCTTTCTTTCTTTCCCCCAAACTCCTCCAGAAATGAGTCTTTGCTGGCACAGCCTCTTGGAGCAGGATGCCTTGCAGGGTCCCAAAGACTCATTTCTGGCAGACTTTGGGGGAGAGAAAGACTTTTGCTGCTTTCCTTGCATGCAGCCAAAAGTAGAAGAAGAAAGAAGTGGAAAGAAGCAGCCTGGTGGCCAAGCGAGGCACGTAGGGCGCGTGGGGCAATTTACCCTCCTCCGCCCTTTCCCCCCTCCCCTCACTACTTCATGTTGTTTGCAATGCAAGCGACGCAAGCCTTGTGTTCCTGCGGGCCATGTGGGCGGCACAGCCTTGTGTTCCCGCGCAGCCTGGATTAATTGCTTTGGGGGTGACATTTCTCTGCAGACCACCAAAATTTACTTGTGGGCCACCAGTGGTTTCTGACCCACTGGTTGGTGACCACTGTTCTAGTCAAACTCCTTGCTCAAGCAGAAGACTCTATACCATTCCAGACAAATGGCTGTCCAATCTCTTCTTGAAAATCTCCAGCTTCTGGATTCAAGCTCTTCCATTTATTGATTGTCTTCATTGTCATAAAAGTTCTTCTTAGTTGCAGGTTGGATCTCTCTTTCATGATCTTCCATGTGTTACTTCTTGTCCTGCCCTCAAGTGTTTTGGAGAACAAGCCAATCTCTTCTCTGTGACAGTCCCTCAAGTTCTGGAAGACTGTTATTACATCATCCCTGGTCTGTGTCTTTGATAGACAAGGCATATCTAGTTCTCAATCGTTCATCAATGTATTTAGTGTCAACCCTGAAGTTGGCCGAACTGTGGCCATTTTCTTTTGTTAGTTTTCTCTAGGGAGGTTTTCATATATATATATCCAATCACACTTGGCCAATAAAGTGTTCTATCTATTCTATTCTATTCTGTTCTGTTCCGTTCCATTCTATTCTCACTACTCTAGGGCTGACTCAGCCTGAGGCAAAGGGGCTGGAGGGGGAGGTGTAGTGATAGCCGGGGTTCTGTAGCCAAAATAAAATTCTTTCCCCTGGGAGTCAAGGACGTTGGTGCAGGTGTTCGAAAGGCAGAGACTGAGATCACCTAGCAACTGGACTGCCTGCTGATTGGACCATGTGACTGAAGACTCTCGGGGGGGGGGGGAGTGACAAAGTTTTACATTTAATTGGTGTAAAACCAGTGGGAATCTAGAACCAGTTTTTCACCAAGAAAATACCGATTTGCTATGTTCCGATGAAATGTTCTTTGGGGAATATGCCCGCTTCGGAGTTCTTATTGAATGGGACATATTACCTGGAACCTTGACATTTAGTCTCCAGGCATCTTAATCATCTTTGTTTGTTCTTCTCAGCACACTTTCTAGGTTTCCAACATTTTTCTTTTTGGGGTATCATAATGACCAGAATTAGACAGAGTTTAGTTTAAGGATTAAATTTAAGAAGCATTGAGAAACCCAGCCAATGCATTTGGTCTGAAGGAATCGAGTGCAACTTGATTTATGCAACTTTCTTCTCCAACAGAAAGGAGGGTCTTTGTGGCCATAATTACTTACTTACTTTGTTTGTTTGTTTATTATTTATTTATTTATTGGAATTTGTCAAATGAAAAATGAGAACAAGAATAAGAGAATAAAAATGCAATCACAGGGACGATAGGCACACACTGCGTGCCCCCTATACTGACCACTTAAGTATGAAATAAGGTCCATGCAAGTCAATTTGTGACTGAAACTGTGAACATTTGTAACTGAGACAACTGAATCAGATAGGGCATTCCAGACTTTGACAGAAATCATATTTTTTGCAGTCAAGTTTAGAACGATTTACATTGAGTTTAAAATGGTTGCTCGTGTGCGTATTATTGCGATTAAAGCAGAAAAAGTCATCTACAGGTAAAACATTACTACGTACAATTTTGTATGCAATACCTTAGGTCTGACGCAGTTCTAAATTATCCAAACCAAGAATATCGAGCCCAGTAGCATAAGGAATTCTGTTGTGTGCTCTCTCCCATTCTGCCTTATCTCTTGGTCAACTCCCTGTCCATAAAGATAAGGCTGGTCTTGAACCCCAGGGAGGGATGAACAGGCATCCATCAAAGCCATATTTCCTTGAGATATTTCCAAATGGCCCCTTTAATGACTACATGTCTATCTTCCCTTGCAGAACTGAAGGCCTGGCCTTGGAGATAGGTGGGGCCCTCTACTTCTTTATCTTCATCACCTTTGGGGCCTTCATCTTTGCAAATCTGCTGGTGGCTGTGGTGACAACCAACTTGGAGCAATCTATGTCTGCGTATCAAGAGGAGCAGCAGTTGAAAACTAATTTCTCTTCCCTTGGAAGCTTTGCTGGATATGAAGTGAGTTTGTAATGTCAAGGTTTGGGGAAGCCAAGCGGGAGAAGGCACGGCATATAGGGCAGGGGTGGGATTCTACCAGTTCGCACCTATTCACTAGAACTGGTTGTTAACATTCTAAGCAGTTCGGAGAACCGGTTGTTAGAAGAAATTACTGGTCTAATCCTGTAAGGAAGGCAGGAAGGAAACATTCTGGTCTTGCTTACAGAAACTGTCTCTCCGTTAACCCTTAGTACATTCTTGGCAGGACTAGACTTCCTGTCTCTGGAACTTCTCTGGAGTTTTTTTCCCTTCCTTTGCTGGTACTTTGCTTGTGTGGAGTGACCATTCAAAGTTACAATGGCACTGATCAGTTTTCACACTTACGACTGTTGCAGCATCCCCACAGTCATGAGAGGCCAGGGGGAAGAGATGCATGCCTCAATGTGAGTGATATTGAGTTGCCACACCCAGCCAATAACATGTCCACCAAGCCATGTCCACCCAGTCACATGACCACCAAGCCACCATCTAAGCCACGCCCACAGAACTGGTTGTTAAAAACTTTGAATCCCACCCCTGATATAGGGTAATGTACAGGGGTGGGCTTCAAAAATTTTAGCAAAGGGTTCTCTGTCTGGTTGCTGGGTAGGTGTGGCCATGGTGGGTGTGGCCTAGTCGGCTTCCTGCACCATGGTGGGGGGGCATTTTTGCCCTCCCCAGGTTCCGGAGGCTTTCCTTGAGTCTCCGGGAGGGCAAAAATGCTCTCCCTGGACTCCGGAGGCTCTCTGAAAGATTTCTGGCCTCCCTGAACCTCCAGGCATGCCCTGCACTTACCTGCATCCAAAATGGGTTGCATGGGGACTCCTGGGAGGGGAGGGGCAGGGTGGGTGGAGCCAGCCAAGAGTGGGATTTGTGGGTTCTCTGAACTGCACAGAATCTTAGCTAGGGGCTCTCCTGAACCCCTGCGAACCCCCAGCAGCCCTGGTAATATGTCTAGTCCCTGTACCCTGAAAATGGCCCAGGAACCTGCAGGGGCTAGATCAGGTGAATTTGTATGCAGAGGCAGCTCACTGAATAAAGGGTTTATGATATTTAGGTGAGTTGAGAGGGCTGTCTCATCATATGGCTTTTTGAGCAGGATGGCACCGATGATGACTACACTGCATCCCAGTCAGAAGCGGTGCACGTAAAGGAAGTACTTCAGGCAACACCCATGGCCCGTCACCAGGAGTTGCTCAGCCTTGGCACTTTGGCCAACTTGAATGACACAACTTGTGAAGATCTCTGCCTTGTCCTGGAAGCAATTTCAGAGAATTTAAAGGAATATCAGATAATCAGGGATTCACTGGACCAGTAAGTCCCACCCGTCCTTCTGCTTTTTTTCACCTTAGAACGGAGGCTATTCTAATGTAGCTAGCTAGCAAGTTACCTATAGAATAATTGTTTTATTTACTATATATATGTGTGTGTGTGTGTGTGTGTCTTTGGTTATTCAGGTTTTCTCCTGCATAAAATTGGAAGTATCTAGGCGATGTTTTGATGAAGTCTCATTCATCATCTTCAGGCTTGTGTCTTTGGCTTTGTGCTTCTCAGAGTAATGTGAGCTTGCAGCTGCTTCTTCCTTTTAACTGCTAGTGGGGGTTTGACTTGATTGGGTGGGGGCTTGGCTGTGTTCTGATTGGCTGGGGGTGTGTTCTCATTGGTTGGGGGGTTGGCTGTGTTCTGATTGGCTGGGGGTGTGTTCTGTTCAAGTGGAGGCTTGGTTGTGCTCAGATTAGTCTTAGTTGCCAGGGGATTTGAGCTGGTGAGCTGTGATCCTGTTTTTTGGCTTCGCATTCATGGTCATGCCACATCTTCATGGTGGGTGTCAGTTTGCTTCATGTATAGGTCGGAGGAGTTTGAAGTGGGTAGTGATGTAGCTGCGGTACAGCTTCTGGTCCATCAGCCTGAAGATGATGGATGAGACTTCATTGAAACGTCGCCTAGATACTTCCAATTTTACGTGGGAGAAAACCTGAATAACCAAAGATCTACATACAAATACCCCCGAAAACCTCAGTAAACATATATATGTGTGTATGTATACACACACACACACACACCCACACACACACACATATATATACACATACACCCACATGCACACCCACACATTTTTTTCACTTGTGCGAAAAAAACTGTGACCTGAAAAAAACCTGAACCTGGTTCACTTGTGTGAAACTTGTGTGTATTTTTAAGGGAATGTACCAAGCAGAATTTGGTTGATAATAGTTATGTGTTTATAAAATAGATGTTAGAAAATGAATGTTATAACTGTAAAGGTATAATTTAAATTTTAAACAAGATTTGAATGGATAATAATTAAAAGATACAAAGGTGTTACAGTCTAGTAATTATAGGGGAAAATTTGTTTTATGAGAAAAGAAAGTATGAAATTGTAAACAGGACAGATGAAAGTTTAAAAATATTGATTAGAAAGTTATTGAAAATTAGAAAAAGATATGTAATTGAACTTAGAAAAACTATTGAGAAAACTGCAAAAATAGTTATAAGAATACATAAGATGAATATGTAATTGAATTAATGTCTGTATGGAGAAGTGATAACCCAGGAGCATTCTGTTCTCAAAGAAAGATATTTCATTTGTTGTATGTTTTGTGAAAACCCAAATAAAACTTTATAAAAAAAAATTCTGGGGCTCTGTTGTGGTTGTAAGTTGAGAATACCTGAAGATCAACCACCTCCATCATGCTGTTTCCCCATTGGGTCTGCAAGCCAATTGGCAGAGCCATATCTGAAAGGAAAGGAAGGCTGGGGTCAACCACACATTGGGGGTAGAAGAAGTTCCAGAGGGCAGGAGCAGGAGCAGAGAAGACCCTCCTCCAGGACCTCTCCAGCTGGAATAATTGGGCTGACAGGACCCACAGCATGTCTCCTCTGCCCGCATGAATGGGAATGAATCTTCTCTTATCTTAGGGGATGGAGGAAGAGAAGTCCCGGGATTGTTCAACAAGCATCTGAGCTTGCTCCAATGAGAACAGGACCACGGCCAGCTCCCTATGAGTATATTCAGGCCAGGTCTCTGAGGAGTAAGCTGTGTTGTTCTTTCTACCATGAACTCCACTTAACTGAGTTAAGAGTCATGCTGGTTAAGATTCATTTCTATTGAACAAGTTCTATCTCTTTTGTAGACATCTTCACATTATAAGGAGGGCATGCTCTATCACACCCGCTGTTGATTCCAACTGACATGAGAGTTGTTCCTTGTAATGGAAATGGAACTGTTGTTGTTAGTTGTGAAGTTGTGTCCGACCCATCACGACCCCATGGACAACGTTCCTTCAGGCCTTCCTGTCCTCTACCATCTTCTGGAGTCCATTTAAGCTCACGCCTATTGCTTCAGGGACTCCATCCATCCACCTCATTTTCTTTTCCTTTTGCCCTCAATCATTCCTAGCAATTAATCTCTTCTCAAGTTGAGTCCTTCCTTCCCATTAGGTGGCCAAAGTCTTTGAGTTTCATCTCCAGGAACTGAGAGATGTTAATTAGATGGTCAAGGGGAACAAGTCCTAGGAGAGGAATAAGATTGTCTACTCTGGACCTGCAAGTCTATTTTAAAACACACTCAGCGTTCCATGTTATTTAGTGCCAACGTAATTCGTGGAAATCATCCCCAAGTTTATTTGATTTTTGGACTTTTGATCTCCACAGAATAATCCAGGAGGTGAGGCACCTCAAATTCAACATCGATCATGAGCAGGAGATTGTTCTACGAAACATCCGTGGGGCAAACATTTCAGAAACGATGATTGCTAACAGTACCATTTATGCCAAGACTGGTGATGTTCTCTCTACGCTGATGAACCTGGAGAAGGTATGGTTTCAACCCTGTGTCTTGAATGACAACATTGGGAACAAATACAGATAGTCCTCGACTTATGACCACAATTGAGCCCAAAGTTCTTGTTGTTAAGTGAGACATTGTTAAGTGAATTTTGGCCCCATTTTATGACCGTTCTTGCCACAGTTGTCAACTGAACCGCTGCAGCTGATAAGTTAGTAACCCGATTGTTAAGTGAATCTGGCTTCTCCATTGGCTTTGCTTGTCAGAAGGTCACAAAAGGCGATCAGATGATGTTGGCAACCATCATAAATATGAACCGGTTGCCAAGCACCTGAATTTTGATCACATGACCATGAGGCTGCGGCAGTGGTGGTATTCTACTGGTTCGGACCGGTTTTGCTGAGCTGGTAGCGGCAGTGAGCAGCGGAGACCCAACTGGTTCTCTCACCGCTCAGCTGTTGGGTCGACTCACCTGCCCGGGCTCCCATAGTCACCTTTACCCTCTGCTTTTGAAGCGTAGCTGCTTTGCGTGGCGCAGAAGAGTGCTGTGTGGCAGCTGCTGAAGCAACTGGGAACGTGCAGGCTTGCAGGCAGTGAGTTGGAATGCCTCTGCGCCTGCACAAAATGCACGTTTGATGCGTGAGCACATGCGAAGTGTGTGCACGTGCGCAAATCATGCCCACCAAGCCACGCCCACCGAACCGGTGGTAAAACTTTTTGAATCCTACCATTGGACTGCCGCAAAAGTCATAATTGTGAAAAACCATCCTAGGTCACTTTTTTTCCAGCGTGGTAGTAACTTTGAACAGTCACTAAATGAACTGTTGCAAGCCAAGGACTACCTGCATGGAATAGATTGTTTCTAGGAGCCCAATATGTTGTGTGAATACAACCGTTGCGTCTTCAGAATAAAATGCAATCCTACTTTTCATGCATGCATTACTTATGTCATCCTGGAATCCTTGCTCATGTTTTTTTTTTTCCCTTGGGTGTCTTTCTTGGACAGTCACACTTACTTGATGGAGAGTATCAGAAAGGAGAGGTGAAATCAGCAGCTATGAGAGCTTTACGACTGGCCTCGGTGAGTAGAAGGGTGGGCTTGGGTGCCCTAGGGCAGGGGTCTCCAACCTTGGCAACTTTAAGCCTGGCGGACTTCAACTCCCAGAATTCCCCAGCCAGCCCTAGGGTCAGTTCAGATTGACACAGGCTAAAATTGTGTACTAGGCTGCGAGTCAATGGGGTGATGGCAAGCGCGCTCTAACTCTATAATGACTCAGTCCCTCCACAGGGAGACCACTTCTAAACGTCGTGCTTGAGGTGGAGAAGAATGAAACTCCAACTTTGGGTTTTGCTGATTGGACCTGGGTTGTCAAACTCAAGGCCCATGGGCTGGATCCGGCCTGCGATGGGGTTGGATCCAGGCTTTGGCCCGGTCTACTCAGTGTGAAGAGGAAACATGCCAGCAGTTTGGGGAGTGGCGTCAAGCTGACCACACCCACCTAGTTGGCCACACCCACCCAGTCAGCCACACCCATTCAGCCTTCCCTCTGAGGTCAACCTCAGCCCTGATGCGGCCCTCAATGAAATTGAGTTTGTCACCCCTGGATTAAACTGATAGATCTTTATAGAAATGGCTTGTTCATATTATGACGAAAGAGAAAAAAGCTGTGATTTCATGGGAATGGCTTATTTTACGGTAACAGAGAGAGTCGGAAGTCAGTGCTTCTTTTTCTTTCTTGCCTTTCTTGCCTTTCCCCTCCCCACTCACTGCTCCTTTATTTACTTTTGTAGTTTGTATTTTATAATACTTTATAACTCAATAAAATGTTAATAGGAAGAAAATATATATATTATATATTATAGATAGATAGATAGATAGATAGATAGATAGATAGATAGATAGATAGATAGATA